AGATTATTATACTTTGTTTAACGATAATTGTTCTATTCATAATTGAAATATCAAAATTTATTTAATAACTGAAGATGTTACTTTATTAAAACTCAGAAAATCATGGAGCTACATTTGTGTCAAAAATATGTAGTAGACAATTAAAATGATTAAATGTAAAACCCCAATAAAAAAGTGCAGCCTATTAAATAGGTGTAATTGATAGTTTTGTATTATAATATTTTGTATAACGTAACAACATGTCTGACTTTGATTAATACAAACATTTCAAGTATTTTTAATACATTGCAAGGTGGTGGGTGGGTGCTGTTAAAATTTGATATTCGCTATAGTGATTTTTTTGTAGTTTCGGCGGCGCCACTATGGCATGGGGTAAGTGTTTTTTTAGTGTTTTTCTCTCCCATTTGATGTCACTAGCACACTTGTCCAGTTAACCGTCTCCTGTTTTTGTGATTTATGCAAAACCTTGTACTTCTTAGTTTTATAGTGTTGCTCTCAACGTGTTTCTCGCATATCCGTCGCATCATCGCCAATACTACTATTGTACTCTTTTTTAAGTTTTAAGGTAATCGAAAACTTGACTCCGAACGCGTTCCCTGCGGGATAACACCACAGAAAAATGGCAAACACAAAAAAAATTTTAAATAAATAATAATAATAAGAACCCAAACGCGACCCTCTTGTTGCGGCCGTCCATAGCGCCGCCACACGACCTTACCCAAAGTGGGGTCGACTTCCTTTGGACGGTAGTAATGATGAAAATCCATACGGCGCTTTTGTGTGCAAACGTTATGTACACACAACTGACAAGTGTATCCGTCGCCAATGCTGCCAATAAACCTTAATCGTTTAGCATTCTTGCCGTTTTGACTACCGCCAAGTGGCCGTCTATAATATAATATCGTCCTCGGGGTAGGTAGTAGAGCCGGGAAATATGCAACCGTGTCCCCTGAGCCTGATTGAAAGTGAATTAGGAATCCGGTCAAAAGTAGATTGGATCCGGAAATTAAAAAAAAAACAATAATAATAAGTTCCTACCCTTTTCTTTTAGTGTTTGAACTGATTTTAATAAAAAAATAGCAGCTGCATGGAAATAAATAAGATTGGCAAAGAGCCCTATATGCCTACACAATATCTTCTTTTTCGATATTCCAATAAATTATATTATAAGAGATCGGGAGGTCTACACCTCCCTAGGTATGTGTTCTTGATTGCTGAGGACTTCCGACTTTCTTATCCTCGCGATAACAACAATAACGACAACTGATTATTAGCGATAGTATTAATTGTACACTGCCCAGAGAAACCCAAATATTTACACTACTGACACTTCCCGTACAACATTATCGAGTTGGGTTGATTTAAATCAGTGTTTGTAACGAAAAATGCGAAACCATACATTTAGACTTTTAGATATCAATATTAGAAACCGAAGAATTCAGTGATTTTACAATGATAACCGTATTGATATTTCTTGACAACGGACCAAGTGTAACATGTATACAAATTTTGTGGTCACAGGTTAAATACTGATAACTATTTTTTTTTTGTCATTTGATTCTGTTTTTACAAAATATATCTAATAGTTTAGAATTGTCGCTCTTTTTCTGTGCGGCTACTTAAGATTTTCTTTTATCGTTTTGTAGCGAGAAAAAGAAGTGGCAGGGAGTGTCAAATTGACATATTATGTCTAAAGAAAAAAAAGTCCCAAAAGTTTGTACACTTCAGAGGATAGGATACCGGTATAGGTTCGACGGTTACAAGCCCATAAATCCTTTTAACTGATTATGTACAAGTTTGTAAAATATTAGTCATTTGCCTATAGAAATATGTATCCATTCTTTAGTGACTAGTATTTTAATTTTTAATATCGGTTGTTGATGTTAATATTATTCTAATAATTAGATTAATATTAAAAATAATAATAATATTAGGCTTGATTGTTGCTTGTAATATTCGAATGATAGACCTAAGGGGAGGGGAGGGGAGGGGCCCCAATTACAGAATCCACGTTCGTTTAACACAAAACCCAAAATATAGACCAACGGCAAATTGGGAAAAAACCAAGTTTTATGCAATTCCGTTAACTTTGATGGTAAAAGATTTTGGATTTTTTAACAAGATAACATGGCGAGGACGTCGGATAGTTAGTCATCAGTCGCACTTTCGGAACACAGACAGAGGGGGTGGGTGGGTGGTCGTTCTGTGGGGAACAGTTGACGGAGGGGTGGCCGGCTGTCCGTAGGGGAAGTGATGCATATATATATATATATATATATATATATATATATATGTATGTAATTTTTTTTATCCCCACCAGCTTGTCGTTTGTTTTTTTTAGGATTGAACCGGGTCTACCCGTCTATTCGTGAGACGAAAAAAAAACTGCCTTATCAAAAAACGACCGATGGGCCGATGCTAGGACGAGGAGGACGCCCCTCCCTTCTCCTACTCCCACCTATACTTGTCTCAAACACTCACACACACACACACACACCGACAATGGTCGAGTTATCAATTAATATCATTGCACCAGCAGTTTGTACGGTGTAATGTAATGCGCGCACGTTCCTAACAATCGCAGTCGCCGTCGTTGCAGTCGCAACTATATTATTATACCGTATTATCATTATTGAAATATATAATATTATCATTGTTGCTTGAGTAGGTACGCGTTTTTTTTTGTATTTATTTCCCGGCGCCGACGGATTGGTGGCCACGCCGTGGTGCCGGACGACAGTCGCGCGCGATAAGTCCTTCCGGTATACTCTCGGGACTGATTTTCGATCTGATTTTTTCGAAAAACGCGTTTTCAAAAAAACCGCTCCGTGGCCGAGATCCACCAAAAAAAAAACTGGCGTGCGAAATTTCAATCGTTTCCTTTTACGTCACATGTGCGTGCCAAATGCTCTCTACGCCGTCACATTTGCCGATTGGTCGACGTCGTTCGTGTGTTCTACGACTCTCTATATTTACTCTCTCTCTCTGGTCAAAGGGTGAGTAAGCCGATTTCTCAATCCCGGATCGGCGGCGCTTGTGTTTTTATACAAACGGTATGTACAATACTATAATACTAATAATAATAATAATAATAATAATAATGAAAAATTATGTAAAAAAAACAAGGCAAACGGAGCACAGGCCCTGGTCTCCTGGTACCGTCGCCGGTTCGATCGTAACGATATATGGTTTTTCGTCGTCGATCACGCCGGTATTTTCATTATCATACTCGAATTCGTGCAAAAATCGGCACAACGGTGATTCAGGCGGCGGCGGCGGCGGCGGCGGCCCACCAACGAGCTGTGGGAACACGGAGGTCAGCGGAATGGGGGGCACATTCCGTCGACGGCGGCGGCGGCGGACCGGTCTGTCGTGTAGTGCGTGCGTGTGTCTACGCGTTGCGCGTGCGTGCAAGTGTCGATGCGTTTGTATGCTAAGCCGCCGCCGTGTAAGGGTTATCGACCCGCGCTGTGGTATGCGGCTACGGCGGTATGTCGCATTTCTTCGAAACACCACTGTGTGCGTGTGTGTATGTGTGTGAATGTTTGTGCCAAGCGGAGGGGTGATTTTTATGGTTGATACGCATAAATTATCGGCGACCGGGTAGTGACGCGGAGCGGCTGCGGGGCAATAATTAAATATAATATAAAATTCCAAAAACAAAAAGTTCTCTTTTGTTTGCAAACACGCAAAGACAACCCGATATGAGGATAGGTATCGTTTTATTCTTTTTTTTTGGTTAATCACTCCGGTATTATTCGTTTTCGACGGTCGTAAACTTTCACGTCGGCCGAAAAGCAACAGCCCGCACGAACGCGACCAGACGGGAGAAAGAGAGGAGGACACACCGTCGCATGTCGCCCAGGCGCGTTAATTTTAGTCCCGTCGGCCAGACGACCTTTAACAGGGACTTTGACCTACCGGGGGCCCTTTAACAATTGAAAAAATACCGAATTCGTCGAGTAAAAACGACCCCCTTGCTGTCCAGTGAAAAATCTAAATCTTACGGGAGGAGGAAAACCCCCGGAAGGAATGTTTATGGCCACCGTCGATTATATCATTAAAATGTTGTCCCCCGCTTGGCCAAATTTTATCACCTCTTTTCACAGAATGCGTCCACGTGGTGTCCGGAACGCAAATGTCTCCGTCGACAGTGGACCAAAGCGTCGCAACCACGCGTTATTGGGACTAAGCCTCGCTGGAGTCTATCTGAAGCCCCTCGCCCTCAGGATTGTGATGCTATTTGCGCCACTCAATGTAAGGGACTGTGTCCGGATTGTGGTAAGTGAATTATATTCGTTTAATGAATCATGCAAGGGCTTTATCGGTCACACGTATGTGTTCGCATTATTCGTTGTATATATATATATATATATGTGTCTGTGTGTATGAGTGTATGTATGAATAAAAAGAATGTCGCTTATTAAACGGCGCTGCTGCGTTGGATTGGTGGGAGGCGCCGGCCGCCTGCGTTCGGTTTACATTTATGTGCTGGGCGTCCGCCCGCCGCTCTTGCTCTTACTCACTCTCCATCTCTCTCCCTCCCACTGTAAACATGATCGTCATCGTCATCATCATTATTATTAACATTATCACCGCCGCCACCGCACACCGGAATATGGAGGGAGTAAATAATTTTCTGAATGAAACCGGCGGCGGCGGCGGATACGAGAGTGATGTGCGAGCGAGAAAGAAGATAAGAAAGCCGATGGCGGCGGCGGCGGTCACTCGGTCCGTAGTCGACGTGTTTGTCCCGCGCGTGAGCACACGCGGTTGTCCCGCCGCCTCCGTTTTCATTCCCATCTCGCGTTCTCCGTCGATGCGGTCGTGGCGGCGGAGGGGATTATGACGCACGCGCATGCACTGGATTCTCTACGCTCACACATACACACGGCCGCTTTCGACTGGTGCACGTAAACGCGCGTGCGTACGATCGTACCGAATACAAAGTACCAACCGAACGCGGCCTTCGGTCCGCGTACGTGTACAAACTGTATTCGGAGCTGCCAGTCGCCGCAGCACAGTCCGCGCGCACACCACTACGCGGTGTCGAGTGGAGTTGGTACCGGGCCGCGTCCGCCGTCCGTCGCATTCGCCGTTTTGTTTCATTCCCTGCGAGTCGTGTAAGTGTGATGTGCCTGTGTGTGTGTGTGTGTGTGTGCGCGTGTGCGCACACACAATACAGTGTGTTTGAGTATTAGCAATGACGTGATCCGTGTGTGTGTGTGTTTGTGTATGTATGTGTACTATTCATGTTCTATTTATTATTTATTTATCGGTATTATTAATTTTAATTTTTTTTTTTTTATTTAGTTTTTCCAAATAAAAAAATATCGTAAACCATTTGCGCGTTTCGTTTGCGCCGCGCCTTACGTCAGTTTCACACGAGTGTGGTTTTTTTTTTTTTTTGCGTCATAGCGCCGTAACTCGTTTTATTTGTGCGGTTATTGGCAGTCGTGGTGTACGCGGACGGCAACGGCGGATGGGCTGCGCACAAAGCACATGACGATTCCGGCAACGACCACTGTGTATACCCGTGAACACACGCAGAGCCCCATCGGTGTTTCTCTCTCTCTCTCTCTCATACACACACACACACTCACGGTGACACTCGCTCCGACCGGAAATGCAGGATTGCGAGTGTGTGCACACGACATGTTCCCCGGTGGAGAACACGTGGTTTGCGATTGTTTTCAACTCTGCCGAACACGAGTAAGTTTTGACAATTTTTTATTTTCAATTTTCCGTAAATTACACATTATTATGTGTTGTTAAGGAGATTTAAACGAAAATTTATATGTACATTTTTTTTTTTTTTACTACTAAACTTAGAGATCCAATTATTCTGACGGTCCGTGTTTTGTTTGTTATAGTCGGGTTTCGATACTACTATTTGATGCGAAGCTGGTTTTCACTTTGATCTGTCAGATTTACGTTTTACCTTTTCTGAGATCATTGTGAAAGCTAATTTCGTACCTCACGGTAATACCAGTGTTCGACCGGCTATTTTTTAATTGATTTGCGTATCCACCGAGGAAAAAAAACGTGTAATATTTGTGTTGTATAGGTACTATGTTTTTTTTTATCGACCCCTTTTATTGCTCCATCAAAATGTATTATATATATATATATATATATATATATATATATATATATACCTCAAATAGGCCGCCAATAGTCGTAATGTATTATTATTTATATTATTGTTTACCGATAAAAATACCGCCAATCTCGAGCACAACCAACGTTTTATTTAAAGACCTAGTCTATTCTATTTTTATGTATATTATATTAGCAATATTACTATTATTATATATTATAACGTTAACTCATTTTATAACGCAATGTTTCTCCGTCTCCGCGGGGATTGTTCTTGGCCAAAGCTACTAATTTTTAAAACGGCTCTGATTTATTAAAAAAATATTTTATATCTGTTAAACCTACATATTATTATTAAATTGTTACTCACGATCATTGTAGTTTTATCGCCGTCTATATAGTAAAATATTATGTTAATAACGTTGTGTATGTATTATTATTGTTACATAGTTATTAGTTTGTTATAATTGTATTAATTATAAATTTTGTTTTCTCTCGACAACCGTACCCCGTTAGTTTTTTTAAACTACTTTTTTAACAATAATGTTGTATTTTTATTTTATGTACTTCTAATGTAATACTACTGTGTAGTATCGCACATGCTGCTTAGCCCCGGTAATCACGATAAGTCGTTTATTTTTGGCGTGACTAATTGTGTATTAGACCCCGCGTTAAATACTGATGATGGTATGGTACGGTAAGCCAGTGTTATGTGTGTATTCGATGCGTTCGTATCCCCTTCACCGCCGGCACACTGTGTACGGGCGGCTCGAATATTTCTCAGCAAGGAAAATTATTGTTATTAAGACCTTATGAAAAAAAAATAATAATAATAATAACGTGTACAGGTAACCACCGCTAGTGTTGTTGTGCCCGACAGTAACAGCAGCAGCCATCATTATAACGGTTTGTAATCGAGATCCGGTTTTCTTTGGTTGCATTATTATTTATTCGCTCTGTATATTCGTCCCCCTTGAGTTATCTTCACTCCGGTATTGGATTTTTTTAATTTGAGGGAATTGCTAGTCGACAAGATTAAAAAACACGTGGTTACTCACTACCGGCACTAACCCCGAAAGCAAAATATGACTAACTCGAAAAGAAAACAAATTTCATCAAACCCAAAACTGAAAAGATTTTTATATTTTAAAGTTTACCTCGCGTGCCGTCGTTTTCCGTCATCCGATTTGACTTATGTACAATTTTAATTTTTCAGTTTTTTTACAGAATCTTCTTTGTTTTGCTGTTCGCCAGATATGTGAAAACGTCTGTCAACAACAGTTCCAGTTCGGATAACAGATATTGCTTTAATTTGCTGTTTTCAAAAGTAACTTAAGAGTTGGCAATAAACCCAAGTTTTTTTTTCTTATAAAAACCTAGTTTGGGTTTTTGTTTTGTGTACATAATAAAACCATATTTCAGGTTAAATACCAAATGTTTGCAGCAAAGTTGGCTTTTTAATTTTGTCAACTCTGGTAGAAACCGTCGATGCAGTTGATTAATGGGACTAGCGATAAGGGCGGACGTTTCAACCGATACATTTTGTCAAAAATATTCATCAAACCCTTCTATACAAAACACGCTAAACATGACAATTTAATATGTGATGTGTGTTACTAATAAATATTAAAATAAAAGCCAAAAACATTTATGATTGTTAAGATAATACATGCATACTGGTTTTATTTTTAAAAGCGATACTGTGCATTAAATTAAAAAAAAATTATTTTTACTCCCCTAACATTATGTTATAGCATAATGGTTTTAATGTCTTTTACAAATCTTATAACTCCAGTCATATTAACTGTATTAGTTTTCTACATTAATGATAAATTGAAGTAATTGTGACCTTAAAATTTCAGTCGTGCTAACCAGAGTTGTCTTGATTAGTGTTTTTTTTTTTTTTTAAATACGATAGTTTTTTTTTTTATTTAAGCCAAGAATGTACAACTTAATTTATTAAACTACTTTAAATTAAAATATAATTGTTGTAAAGATATAAAATCTACTTGAACCCTAAACCATAAAAATTATACACTTCTTGCGTACACGTGTTACGACAACAATGTTGTCATCTTCAGCGCTAACAACAGACTCAACAGTATAATTGTTGTTTTAATATGTTATTTTTATTAATAGTATAAAATTAAAAACAAATGTGTGATACGTGAACGACGAAACGGTGTTTAATATTTTATAATTATTATTATTAACTTTTCAAGCAATGTTTCATCATGCCTAAATGTTTGTGAAGTTCAAAAATGTACATTATCAATTTGTGTATCATAATTTATTTTTGCTTTGTTGATTATTGACCTACTCTCTGTTATCTGTCGTGAGTACCGTGCAATAATTTTGGGCTATGTTATAATTTTAATTCATTGCAATTATAATTTGAAAATATAATTAGTGGGTTATTAAATTTAAAAACTGTAATGTTATTATTAAACATCTTGACTTATTGCAATCTTTGTGTTTAGTAATAATTTTTTTTGGTAACGTTGAATTGTATTTGAATTGAAAAAATTTGAAAAGAAAACATTGCTGAGAAATTAATTATACACAAAACTGTCAATTATTATTTTACAGATAATATTCTTTGTACTATACAATTATTATGTAAAACTATTAGTGAATTATTTTTAAATAATAAATACATACAGAATAGTTAATAAATGATGATTAATAATTATATAGCTGAATAGTACTTATTATAAAACAGTTTTTTTTTTAATAATTAACTTAGTTTCTGTTTTTAATTAAGACGATGTATGAATAATAATTGGTTTTTTGAACAGTGAATTGTAAAATAATATATTATTTATAATTATCGATTATGAAGTTTTAGTATGTTGTGTTTAATCTTTGCGAGAACGGTGTAAATAATAATTTTCAATATTTTCATTTAAATGTCATCTTTTTGTTGTATTTTAATACGCTTTAGTTATTTTTATTTTCAGAACCGTCGAGTTAAATTGATATTGTGTATTCACGAACATCTTAATTGGATTTCAACTAGTTCCTACTGATTTATTGTTTGTCATCATAACTTACTGCTTGTTAGGATTTATTTATTAAGCAAAATTAATATTAATGGTTTTCATATTAACTATTTCGTTTACTGTCATTAAAAAGATGAGTATGCTTCTTAAAAAAAAAAAAAAAAGGTTTCGAGAAGGCCAACATTCCATTAGTTTATATAATAGACTATGTCGTATAATGAATAACAACAAATAATGCTATATTGGTTTAACAAGTCCATTGTGTAGATTATCGGTTTACGATTGGCATAATAATAATTATTATTAATGGTAATTTATAATATTTAATTGGGTTTTATATATGATGCGTTATGCAGTATTAAATGAATAGAAATGTTACAAATACTTAATTTTATTTGTTCGTCCAATGGATACCTGGTTTGGGTCCAAATGTAAAAATGCTATAACTGCAAAACGGCCAAGTCTGTCTTCAGTTGTTGTATAGTTTTAGTTTGAATTAAAATTGTATATTAACAGCATTTGAGTTTTAACAAACGATAATTTTATTAAATTGTAATATTCTAGACATAAAAACTGATTTTCAAATCGAGTATCGTCTCATTAAATGGTGTTTACTGTTTACGGTCAAGGAGGCGGTCAGTCGTTCTAAATTTTGTAATTACAAAATATTATAAACATTTAACTTTTAAACAATTCTTGACATTAAATAATATAGATATTTGCATTTTATTTAGCAAGATGCGCTAAAAAATTATTTCGCTTGACACGTTGAAATTTCATATTTATACTATAAAACATTACATGTCTATACACAAAGATATATATATAAAATCGATTCTAAAAATGATTACCTATTTATAATATTGTAGTACCTACTTCTCTGATTGGGAAACAATAATTTTATCAAATATGTCATGTTGTATTTAGTTAAATATTGAAAAATGATTATATTCATAACCCATGGTAATAAATCTGAATAGTAAGTTCAGTTAATTGGGTATATATATATATAGAATATATCGTAATTAATTAGTTTCTGAGATACTTGACAGGCTATCGTCAAAAAGTATTTTTTAATTAATTTTGTAAATATCTCGTGTTTACTGATTATGTTTATTTAACAATGTACTTGACGATCAATTCTGTGGAAAATATTACAACCGGACTTAAAAAAGATGTAAATATACTTTCTAATGGCTTATAAATTCTTATGTGTATTTATATACATTTTAGCCCTAAAAGGTAAACTTCTTGAAGTGTTAATTAATGAAATAAAATAAATTATTGTTTTTTAACCAGAAATGTTATGACCAAGAAGAATTATTTATTATTTGAATAATTTTTAAGCAATAATAGTAAGACATTAAACTGCTGGTCAAACTGATTATAAGTTATAACTTATTTTTAGTTTTATAATATTTATTGTTTAGTAAAAAATAACTTATTATTTGTGTATAATAAATGGTGTATTATAATTATGTTAGAAAATGGATTGACTAGTGTGAACCATTACAATCAAGTATTCAAAAACTAAAATCTAAAAATAATTAGTTAAATGGCAAGTCAAAATGGGCAACAGTTCTTTTCTTCGACTTTTCTGTATATTAATTTCTGAACTTTTCAGTTTTAAGATTTATTACAATCGTAGGTTTTTTATTTACCAACAATATAAGTGTTAATATAGACATGTATTTTTATATTTTATTAAACACTATTAAATGACTAAAATTATTTTGTATCGTGATACCGTGTAAAGTAATGGTTATTAGTCATCTGTTTTTGATTCCTTGTCATGGATTCCCTATCGAGAAAAACGAATAATTAAATAATAAGTTCATTATTACTATCAAATTGTTGAGCCAAATATTTTTTATTAAAAAAAAAATAATAATAATAAAGCTGTTTATTTTGAAAAATATAAAACCGATTGTCAACCATTTACAATTTTCAGTAAAACACATCATTTTGATATCTTAACAAAAAAAATGAATATTCATAGGTTACCTCATAGACATAATAATATGTCTATGGGTTGCACCGCTTGAAGATTAAAAGTTAATTACGACGTAATCAGTTAAAGGTATGTTCTGTATGTACCACGTGTCTTATTGTTATGCAATTATTATTATCATCGCGGTTGTTGCAATACCTACAAAATTAAGAACATTGAACCAACTAAATGACACGTGATGCAAACAAAAGGATATCTAATAATATATAGGAGCACTAGGATTTCATTTAAAAGGGTCCCTTTATGTTAACCGAAATGGTGTTTAGAGATACCTTTTGGAAATTGGAGGTACAAACAATAGGAGGCCACAACAAAAATAAACGGGGTTCGCTTGGTGTGTATTCACAAAAACTATCCTATCATTTCTTCACGAACAGATGGATTTTTTGGGAAAAACATCACTAAAACTTGAGTAACGATAATTAAAATCAAATATTCCTAGGAACTTACTACGAGTAACGAGGGTACCACAAACAAAGCGAATGTAAAATCAAAAATGGCGGACATTTGCGGTTTTCATGGAAGAAACAGTTTATTATATTTAGATTAAAAATTGTCTAAACTTTGGTCTTAAATAATATTATATTTTATAGCATAAACACCAAACGATCCCTTTGATATTATGAAAATTGATAAAATTTGAATATTTTCCCGAAAACAGTTGTACCAAACCGTGTTAATAATAACCTTTGAGCAAATTAAACTAAAGGTGAAATGCAAGTATAAAAAAAAATCTTTCCCATGAAGAAAACATATTGGGTCTGGGGTCATAAATATGTCTTAAGATCAGCTGTTTTTCTGTCTTATTTATCAGCTGATTCCATTATTAGTTACCTATTAAAGTAACATCAATTTACCCTTAAGCATCACATTCCCTACCTTATCCACCCTTATCACTACACCATCCCCTTACCCTAATAGATGTAGTGACCCTTTTTCATTAAGTTTGCCGAACATATTTACACTTTTTACTGTATTTTCTTCAGAATCAATCATAGTAGGGCATGCGCAGTGGCCCACTGTTATCTGAAATTTGACGAATTATTTTTGTCACAGACTAGCAATAACACGTATCTATACATCCATAGTAAATTATTTTTAATTTATTTGTTCACGTCGGGCATAAATCATTATCCATGTTTATACTCATGATGATAAGCCGCACTATTTTATACTACTTGTAGTTTAGCCATTTATAGTTATTATTTTTGCAAAATTGTTTTACTTTATTACATTTTTATCATAAACGTTACATCATTTGATTTTTTAGGCTCGCTTTTAAAATAAATGTATTAGGTTTGAATATTACCACAGTACCATAGCCAAAAGTTTATTTTGGGAGTGTGGTACCTACTAGTGATTTATACCTAAGAAGTAGTATGTTGTTTGCGTACCCACACACACACATAATTGTTATTTTAAAAACATTTCGAGAGGGGGTACGTCCCCTGGTGCCCTGCCTCTGGGTAAGGCTTTGTTAAACCATAAACACTAAGTAAAATAACAAGACGAGGGGACTAACGAGCTGAAAGTTAAAACAAACAATTTTTTATAATAAAAAAAAAATTAAAACTTGTGGTAATTAAATATTTGTTGTGGTTAATTCTGTTCTTGTTATCCTAAACTCCTTGTTAAAACATAAAAATCGCCGATTCAGTCAAGAAATCACATTTGAAATTCATAAAATGATCTCGTTATAAACGTTAATCTGTGACTGTTGTTTACACCAGGCCTAACGTCGTATGTTATGTATGTAACTTAATTTGTGTGCCATATAAATTAATTTGTATTTGCTAATACATAGGTAGATAGTAGATTTATAGTACCTAA